ACCGAGAAGACGATCTTATGGCGACCACGCGCAGCGCCTGAACTGATTCAGACCTCCCGCCTAGTGCGGTTTGAAGCGCGCAATCCATTCGTCTCTGCACACCCAACCCCATCGCCTCTGTCCACGCAAACCATTCTCTGCCCCTCCCCCATCAAATCGACTCGCAGTTCTCGAGTCCGTTATCACCCTACGCGGCGGCATCTCAGTGGAAAATTTCCTGGTAGCTACAGACATATTCCAAATCCCCGTAGCTATTCAGTATATACTGCGTCGTTCGACCATCGTTCGGACGGCCGACCGGCGACCCTTATAAAGGCGACCAATGACATACCAAGTGGTCGCCGTGGTTGTCCGCTGGCAACACGTGTCTGGCAAATCTAGTACCTTCCAGGACTCGGCCGGCCCCTGCCCGCACCCTTCAGCGCCGCCCCCCGGCGGGCGGTCAGTTAGCGTCCCCTCCAATCCGCCGGGGCTCCTTTTGTGACGTCATACGCACCCCCGGCGGCGCCTGAGGGTAGGGCCACAGTGGGACCGCGTCAGTGCCGATAATATTTTGATGCGGGGAGGGCACGCCATGTCATGCCCACGAGGATACGGTGTCTCGGGACTTCCGAGGTCGAGGAATAAGGATCGTCGGACATTTGAGCCTCACAGCTGAGAGCCCTGCGCTTTCAAGGAGAGGAATAAGAATGTATTCGCACGCAGGGTCCGTGGCGTCTGCACGACCAAAGTGCATGTGCTAACTTGAGCACGTTTTGTTCAAAGGTGAGTGGAAGTCGACCAGGGGCACCGTGAAAGGGTCACGGAAAGGGTCAAAAGAGCTATAAAATCTTTTCCGCGGCGCCGTAGCTCTATACCTAATTGATTCCCGAGTTGTGTGCCGGTGTTTCGAAAAAAAAAGTTGAAATAGGCAATATTTTTCATTTAATGGCATCTGGACTCTGGTGACCTGACCTTTGACTTGACCTAAAAAATGAATGACATATTTTCGTCCTTATTTTGGACGTTCTTTCGAATGCCGTTTACTGCTTGTCACTACTTGTCCCAGGATCAGAGTTAAAAGAGCGGGGTGTTGGACCTCCTCCCCCCAGCAGGGCGTGGAAATCAAGGACCCTCAGCGGGCCGCGGCTTAGACATCTTTAGTCGACAACCAAATAAGCCCGTGTTCCTTCGGACGACAACCACCGAAACACTTTTTTCAGCCCTGTTGAGCTTATGTTTGCGGCATTTTCTTTCAATGCTCTGGCTTTGTGCGACGTCCATTCATGTCCCGTCGACTGTGAGCCAGCCGACGCGTGCGTTGGCCGTTGCGCGTGCGGGCCGCCCGCAGGCCGAGTGATGTAAGGAGCCTTGGACTTGTAACACGCCACACACTGCACCAGTCATGCCTATACACACTGCAATGTTGATCTCCCCTTAGGTAGGTACGGTCGTTCAATGTGATAAACTCTCTATCCGGATCAGGATTGACCGGAATAGAATAGAACGGTATCGACGTTCTGTATTCTATCTCAACCATTGACACCGTTGGTGGTCGGCTCAGCCCGAATTTCTCCCTCTGTTCCCCTATCTCATTACCATAATATGGACGGCAGGCAGACTGAAATGGCTTAGCAGATGCAAAGCAAAGTTTACTACTGCTACTGCTGCGTCCTATCGCCGAGAAATTGCAGAGCACATACCTACTTAGGTAGGTAATAGTTGACGCTAAACCATGACTTCAGATCCGTCGTTTCCACACTCCAACAGTTGCACGGGTGATATTTCATAGATAGGGAGTCAAGTGCCTCGTCTGGCTAACTGCGCCAATATTGCTGCCTGCAGCTGCCTGCAATAGCTGCCTGCAGGCAGCTATTCCGGTGGCCACTGGATGCTGGCCTAGTTTTTTTTTTTTATAAATTTAGCTCGAATGTTTGAATGGACGGATTGACAGAGCCGGAGCCCACGCTAAGCAGAGCTTGTTGTGTAGACCCCGACCCCTACCGTCCGATCGCGCAATTCCGGGTATCGGGAGAATTTATATGCCAAAGTTTAACGTGCCCTTCAAAGCCGGACACGGCCTGCCCCACTCAACTGACTTCAACTGGCTGCGGCTGCTCCCACCAACCGCAGACCATCCCCGTCAGGAGTCTCAAATATCGAGCGCCGGAGCGTCTCGAACCCGGGCTCTCACTACCGGGAGTCCAATGCTCTACCAACTGAGCTATGGGACAGGCAAAAGCGGAAGGCTAGCTGTAGCCACTGGCCAATGGTTGCCAGATACTGACCTCGTTGAAGAGGTGGTAGGCTGTGGCCACTGGTTCGTGTGTGGGCGCCGCCTCGAGCTCGGCGGCGACCGCTCGAGCCACCAGAGCCAGCAGACTTCCCCTGCGCATCTTCCGGTTGCGGCTTCCTCCCTTGAGCTCGCGGCCGAACTCGCAGTCCGCGCCCGGCACGCAGGAGCGTGGAAGGCACACCAGCATTGTCGCTGCTTATAAAGCGACAGGAGCTGACCACTTGCACCGTCCAGTCACCAGTCGCTAGCACCGGCCTCACGCACTACCTCAGCACGGCGGGGGTAATGCTCTGTCCTGTAGTTTCACCAAACGGCGGCGGAGGTCACCAGCTAGTGGAGACCGTGACCCACAGGCCACACACCAGCACAGCTGGTGACGGCTTGACCGATAGGTCACCAAAGACTCTCGACACAAAAGGTCAGGTTCACTCAGAGCGGGTCAGGAGCACTCGCCGACTCTGGGACAACAGAATCACCGTCCTAGCTGCCGCCGGCACCAGAGTTTGGCTGCCGCAGCTGCTACAAGCTCGTGTACTGAGCTGCCACGTTCGGAGGCAGGGCGGACCTGCCCCCGGCCCGACTGGACCACGGCCAAGCTGTTGACGTCAGAGACGAGCCCAGACGCGCGCGGCAGAGGGCACTGGCTCGATAGATGTGGTGGGCGACCGCGCCGCGAGAAGCCGCCGACGGACCACGCCGGCGGACATGTGACCTGGCCACGGCCGGGAAGGTCGCCAAGGGCAGGCCATATAACTAAAACGGCAGGTGCTGAGGTCGGGTTTAAGGGAAAAGAGCACAAGAGTGTGGACTGGTTAAGAGGAGGCTGACACAAAACAAAACTTGATAAAAGTAAAATGTGTTATACGAAAACATGCAATTTTTACGGTGAAGATTTGTTAATTGACCTTGTGCAATTAGATCAAGCACTCGGGACTCGAACGCGAGCGGTGTGTGGCTGTTTGAACCAGCTTTGAATCATATGTGACAAACGTTTTTCTGTGGTGACAGTTAAGTGCCCGGGAGCCAGGCATTGTGAGCCCGAGCATTCGCTATGTTCTTTCCCAGCACTTGCGCTAACAGACGGTTAGAGGATAACGTCTAAAAGTTATCAAAATGTCTCTGTCTCGTAGACTGAGTTAAAACTTCGATAGGAGGAAGAAGTAGCGTCAAGTCTTTTCCTTCCTGGCAATCGGCAAAGATATACTTATCAACGTAGATATATTAAATACGTAGGTATATATACGAGTACACCGATCGAGTGTAGGTTTGAACACGGTGTCCTAACTTTTGCCGACCTAAAAGAAGCATGCAGGCGCCTTCTTCACAGGCGTGTGGCGTGTGGGAAGCATCAGGTGTGTGGAAACACAGTGTACCCAATTACATATGTTTTACAATGTGTCCGAAAGATGAAACACGCTATTTTGGTGAAACAAAGCATACGGGTCCGTTCAGACGCTCACGAGGTGATCGACTACGATTACATACATCCTACGCTTCCAAGGGGTGCAGGTGCCGTGGTGCGGGAGCCGTGACTGGCCAGCGCTGCCCTCTGTGCACAGAGGCAGAGGGCAGCTGGTGCCCTCCGAGGCGCCACCTACGGCCGACCGCTGGACAGACGTGCTGGCAGACATGGAGCGGGTCATCCAGCCGGGCATGACCCACTGGCACTCGCCGCACTTCCACGCCTTCTGTCCGTTGGCCAACTCTCCGCCGGCGCTGCTGGCAGAGATGCTGGCGCACGGCCTCAGCTGCGTGGGTCTCAGCTGGGAGGCGGCGCCGGCCTGTCTCGAGCTCGATATGATTGTGCTCGATTGGTTAGTGACAATGACCTTGTCTAGCTGCTATATTTAAGTCTAACATAGGCTTGCGCGTCTTATCTTATGGCAGCTGGATCAGACACACCTAAGACCAATAAGAGACCAATAAGACCTAAGACCAATAAGAGCCTGGGGCACCTACAGCTTCACGGTAACGAAACGGTAGAGGCAGGAATTACGATGTGAGTGTGACTATATAGGCTAGGCCCACTGTCACATTGCTAGCATCTGACATCACATCTATCTGGAGCAGTAAAAGCTATTTCAAATTGGTAACCGGCCTTTGGTAAGATGTAGGCTCAAGCATCACATACCGGTTCCGTACCGGTTCGTATATCCGGGCGTCACATGTAGCACATAGCACCTCTATGATCGGCACAAAACGCGGCTCGGTCGGTGCTTGGTGGGTGCTGTCCTCTGCCTTGGGACCATCGAACTAACAGCTCACACCTCGCCTGTGTGGTGACACTGCAGAAATAGCGCCTCAGTGTTTGGTAGAGCTGTTAGTACAGTGTCAAATACACGCAGATGAAGTATTCGTGCCGTTAATTGTTAACAGTTAGCTTCAGTAGGTTGAACGGTATGCATAGGTATAGCTTATATAAGCCAGGGACAATGCCAACAGTTTTTTTTCTGCGCGGCTGCCCGCTTCGACAATCCGTCCACTCATTCACCGATAAGTCGACAATCCGGCAATCGCCAATCATCGAAACTTTGCTTATTTACTATCCAAGGAAGAACTACGAGGACCAAGATAACTGATTTGTGGCTTAAGACCGAAAGAGCCTAACCAACAAAACAAAACAAACAAATTATCGGCAAGGGGAACAATGACTGCTGTGATACGTTCTCATATAATTTTAAGTGTTGAGACTCTGAATCAATTTGAAGTTTTGCAAACAACTTAGAAGAAAAAGGTACTGTATTTATACCGGTTTTGACACGAACAAGTTGCAACACTGCGCCTCGGGGTGCAATATCAGGTATCTGTACACATCGGCCTTTCTAATCTAATCCGCGGTTCCGAAGGGTCACAACAACGTAAACCCTAAAATAGCATTTAAGCCGATTTAAACCACGACACATTCTTGCCTGCGACTGTAACTACATGCACCAAACATTTTACAAGCTCATACCTCAGAAACCGGTATTTTACGGAATGGGTTCGCGGGTGGATGCCTGATTGCTTCTGGCAACTTTGTAAAGCGTGCCTAGTGCACAAGTTGGAACGGTATGCATTCAACGATAAAACACTATTTGTGATTGTAAGCTAATGAGAAATGTACGTTGAATTATGTCGTAGATTTTAACGTATCCCTTTGTCTTTTTTCCCGTATGCCACGAGTAAAGATTTTTTTATGACTCGGTCCAGGTCATTTGACGTCACACTATTTCATCGTTTTTCTTAACACAAAACATTCACCTCATCACCTCAGACCTAACAGCTAGACGCTTGAGATCAATTTGAGATCATTCAACAAATATCTGAGATCACTTCACTGCACCCTATCCCATTACCTTCGTCCATGTCTTTCATAAGAGGACATGTCCTTCACAAAAAGAAAGGTCTTTCACACAAGACCTTTCCCTTCCATCCCCAATCTCCCTTCATTCGGTATTCTCCATTCGGTACATGTCGGAGAGGAGTCGGCTTACTCCGATCTCTCCCGTGGTCTCTTTGAAGAACAGCGCCTCCACCACAGCGGCCGGGATCGACCTCAGGGCCGGGATGAGCAGCAGCAGTCGGCCGAACCGTGTCGGCTGCCGCGGGAAGCGTGCTCGGAGGTAGTCGCTGAGCACGCACTGCGCCTGGTCCTGGAGCATCTCCACCGGCCGGGTGTCCGTCAGACGCGCAGTTTCTACGGAAACAGAGTCAGAGAGGTCAGACAGAGGGGCAGATATGGAGAGGGAGAGAGGTCAGTCTCTGGAGGTTAGACGGGATGGGAGAGGTCGTGCGAATTGTTTCTACGAGTACAGGTGGAGATACAGGGGCGTCAGAAGATAGAACCATAAGCGATGTCTGCGACAGACAAACTCATCAATTCACTCAAATAAGCACGCTTCCATGTGACCATCTGACGTGCAATAAAAGCTCTGACTTCAGACCATTCTGAAGGTAATGTCCCATGCACTATACAGCTCCGCTGACCTGGCTTGAAGAGTACGATGGCCCTCAGGCAGCCGCACTCGGTCATGTCGGGCGCCAGCTGCCGGAACCGGCAGAGGATGTCCTGAATGGTGCGCACGTCGCCGCTCGAGCCGACCCCCAGCCGGGACTGAGCGTGCGCCGAGTCGAGCAGGGAGGACAGGTCGAACGGCAGGTACCACTGGGCCAGCTGCAGCAGAAACAGGTCCTTCCACGACTCCTCCAGCAGCAGCATCTGAGGCACAAACAGAGCGATGAGAAGTGAAAAAGCGAGAAAAGGGAGGTGAGGGAAGAGAAAAGCAGTGAGAGAACAGAGTAAAAAGTCGCCTTTTATGCATGTAACGTAAAATAACAATTCCCTTAATGAAACCAGCTCTACTTTTATATTTAATTATCGCTTTATTCTTCACAGCTTCCACACTTGGTAGGTCACCCAAACGCCTAACCTACCAGTTACCGCCCCGTGACGCACCTGGTCTCGCGCGGCCAGCGTCTGGTAGGGCGCCAGGCCGCGCACCCAGCGCACCACCATGAACAGCAGCCGCGCGGTGGTCTCGTGGAACAGGTCCCAGGAGGGCGTCAGCGCCAGCGGCGTCGGGTACAGCAGCGGCGGACGCTCGTCAGCCACCAGCTTCGGCACGCCGAACGGCTCCGTTGGCGGCTGTCGTTGCATGGAGCCAGGGGAAGGTAGTTTATTAATTTGTAATTTGTTACGTGCGATAGCTATTGACAGTCATATAATCGAAAGCTAGGTAAACGTCCACCTGGTGATGTGCATGAATTTAGCAGCAGTTTTATGCTGGTGAGGTTCGAAGTCCAGCGGAAAGTGCCGCAGATTATAGGTATAACCGTCAGTCAAATGGCAATGTCAACCGTTTCTCTTGGTGACGTCTATATATAGCGCATATGCATTCTACCAATAATTTGAGGCCGGCATGGGCAGGCTGGATCTGGGCTCAGACGACTCATACCTGGAGCGGGCCCGGTGTCCGGAGGTGGGTGAGCACACCAGCCGCCACCGGGTGGCCGGCTCCGAACGCCGAGCTGGGCGCCAGGAAGTCGCCGCCTCTGCCCAGGAACACGGGCACCTTGGACTGCTCCGCCTCCAGCAGGTCCTTGTTCTTGTTCTTGCGCGGACCACGCTCGTGCTGAACGGCTGTGGGAGGGAGGGGTGAAGCTGTTTGACTTGTGTTTAATTTTTAATGAAGGGGGTGTGATCTGAGTGCCGATGAACGGTCAGCGCAGCTGTTATTGGTGCAGACGTGGACTGACCTGAGTGGTGGGAGGAGTCAGTCGGAGAGTGGCTCCGCCCACACCAGTCTGCTGGAGTCACCCAGACCCACCGCATAAATTTACTAACTTAGCCGTTATCTGATTAAATGAATGAGTGAAATGAAATCCCTGTGGACTGTGGTGCCTTTCTCCATACCGGTACTTAGTCGTCACTTATCACTATTCATAGGAGCTAATTAGATCGTGAAATTATGTGTTCTTATGCCTCACAAGAAGACTCACGAATTAGGTACGTAAATGAGCACGAATGCCGCAACATTGCTAATTCATGGATCCATGGCAATAAATAAAAAAAAACTCCTGAATTAACATAAACGTCACTGGATATTTCATAAGAAGGTGCATGAAATAAGCAATACAAAAGGTGTTATTTTAGTTACGAGGCAGATACAAAACGTGCTCCGTTACTTCCGTAATCTCATAATTTGCCACCCATTGTTCACGACTCTACCCAGCTGCAATTCACCCCTGTTATTCAGTTCATCATTTCAAGTGGCCCCTCTTGATCGTCAGCAGATCAGCGCATTAAGCCGTGCCCCCGTCATCAAAAGCCGCGGAGCTGGACGGGGCGAGTCCGCGGCAGTCGGCGTGGCATCGATTCGTCGCGGCCGCGCGGCCGGGAAGGGTGTGAGCCGCGCGCCTCCTCTGGCGGCCGACACATTAGCTGCACACACGGCCCCAGCCGCGTAAACGGACCGGAGCGCAGCGCCTTACAAATGAGCTCCCCGGGCGGGCACTAATCCCGGCCCGTGGCACCCCTCTCCGGCGTCAGCGATCCCCGGCCGGCCGCCTGACACTTTCCCACACCATATATCACCGTCATGTCAATAAGTACTTTAGTCCGCGCCAAAATGGTTATTACGTCGCAGACTGATTGACTGGTGAGAGAGCTCTCCGCAGAGCCGGTCGGCCGAGGCACCTCGATCCGGCTCTATCCACGGCGTGAGATGGGGCCAGCCGGCGGAAAACTGGGGCCGCCGAGCGGCGACACCGGTCGCGATGTCCGGCAGCGGCGGCTCGGGGCCGCGGCCGGGCTGACAGCGGCCAGCCCACCCTGGCGTCCAGTTTATCTTGCTGTGATGGAGAGAGATAAATGGGGTTGTCCCTGTCAGCCGGATACACACAAGTAAGTCGTGGGAACGGCGGTCTGGAGCCATCACCGAAGGGAGCAGAGGCCAGCCGCTGGCCAAACGTCGCCGCCACCCGTCCAGCCGAGCGGGGCAGCAGAGGTCGAGCGAGGCAGCGCCAGCCGATCCCGCCGGCTACAACGCCGGCCATCACGGCTTTGGAAGGCAGACAGCCGAGAGCAGTGGATGGATGGAGATAGCTTGGGTCACGTTGCGTTCACCGGCAGATTGCTATAGTTGGCTTAGGCTATATATTGCCGTCTCGGCTACGGCTATAAGAGTCTGAGATCATAAGTTGTTCATTCTTGGTCAAAATCGTGTGTTTGGCGTGTAAATGGCACAAAATTTCCTCGCATGATAGCGTGAACGGTAACAACACACAAATTACAGTCTACCAGCTGAACTACAGTGGCGGGCACTAAGCCACTTTTGTTTGAGGTCACAGATGAAAAGCGATAAAACAAATGTTTGCCTCTATCAGTGTAGAGCATTTAGACATCCAGTGACACGCAAAACTCAAACATGTGTGATTCGTCGCCTAATACAAACAAAACCGTTTCAAACACGTTTCAGTACCTAAATGCTAAAATGTCTTTCCTGAAACGACTTTTAAAAAATGCCTCCTTTCTATAATGCTGAGATGGGCTTTTGTCTTCCCTTTTATCGAATCTTGACCTTTATGTCTTAGTGTGCGTTTTTCTACCCTCGCATATCTCTACAATACATAGCAAATTAAACCTGGACAAAAAGGAGCCCTCGAAACCAAAGAGCTTCATGAAAAGTTTTGGCTGTGGAGATCACCTACCGGGTAGCAAAACATCTTCCGTCCCCGTAAGTTATGTCTAGAACAATCACTTGCTGCGCTTTCAACAATGCATTCCTAAGTTTGTCGCTTGTCAGTCGCCTCTTCAAGGAAATAATTCCATTAGTCTGAGCGCTGTGCCATGTAATCATGAAGTTCACGTAGGACCACCATTAACAGCTCCCCTTCTCTCGCTTTCCCTGCAATACGCCGAGTCACCTTCAACTCCACAAAACAAGTTTTTAGCTTTAAGTGGCTCTTGTTGTCGGACCGATCAGTTTACCGCTGACAGCGCACCCGATGGCCGGGCCGCTCCCTATGGCGGACCCCCGGCCGGCGGACCTGACAGCCGCCGTCTCCTCTCAGCTCTGATGGCGGCGGCCCATTCTACCGGCCGTTCGACGGCGCCCCGCTGCCCGCGACCGTTACCTCCGGGTCCGGCCAATCAAAGTTGGCCACTTGCGCCCGCCCCGAACGGCCCGAATCGTGTCGGGCGCGCGTTTTATTTCCGACAGGTGGTGAAATCACCGGCGCTGACCGGGCCCCGAGTCGTTTGCATGCGTCTTTTCACAGAGTTAGCGGCCGGCCGACGGTTCGGTTATGACCGGGCGGCGACAGGCGCGGCGCACCAGCTGGGCGGCTCTCACAGTTTGTGGCTGCCGACCGCGCCACAATTACACGTCACCGCATCAGGCGAGACGGCGCGCCCGTCTCTCCACGGACCTCGGACCTCCGAGAACGGGGGGGGGGGGGCTGGTGGTTGGACAAGTTGAGGAAATCATCTCTGTTGCTGATCTACCAAAATTATTTTGATTGCGACTTTTTAAGCGATATTAACTTGGAAAAGAGCAACTGAACAATTTGTGTGCGCAATACAGTCTAATTGCAGTGATTCGTTGTAGTGTGTCTATGGCATCATACCTACACCTAGCGATAAACGCTTGCTGATCAAGTATGACTGTCAGAAGGATTATTTCACTACTTAACGAAGAGCTAGTTTTCTTGGCACCGACTCTTAAAATTTATACCCTTCGACTATCCTAATTCCTAACTGTTAAATGGTTTTTAATCTTGATGGGATGGGCAGGTGTATTGTGATGTAAGGTGTATAGCACATGGCAGTTTCGTTAGATGTAAGTGTGGCAAAAGGAATTCGTCATAGGCCGGCCCAGAAGTGGGATAGGGCGGCCATGGCCCTTGGACGCTGCGGAGGGGGCATATATCCCAAAAAGTTCACTGATATTAAAAAATAGCTCTGCGAACTTCGAATTCTTAACCAATCGGAATTAAAAAAGTCTCCTTGAAAGCTGTTCACCTTTTTTACTAATCTTTCGGCAAAAAACGGCACATTTTCATCAATTTCGGAAGCTGCAGGAAGGGAAGACATATATAGGTATGCCCCGAATACCCCAGATCAGTCAAGGCATCAGCAGCCAACATGCATAGGCATTTTTTTTTTAATCACCTTGAGGTGCGGTAAGCACGTACCGTCTTTGTTCATCGATGCCTCGAAGCATTTCTTCAGCCGACACGCCCGACACTGGTTTCGGTGTGTCTTGTCGATGGGACACCTGCCCTTCTGATCGCCTTGTGCCTTGCACGTGTAAACACGATTCCGGTGTATGCTTCGTTTGAAAAATCCCGAACATCCTGAAACAACGTATATCGTTACAAAAAAAAACACTGAGTTTGCAATTTAGCCCCGCTTCTTGAAAATTGTCAGAAACGTTTTTTGAGGTCGGTACTTTGAGCCAGCCGTTGACTATTTACAGCAAGAAGCTTTTTTTCGGATGAATAAATGAATAACTGAGGTGTTGTTTGGAAGGTTTTAGTATCATTGGGTTGACAACAGACAAAATGCAGCATTTTGCGAGTAACATGACAGTGGCTTAAAAACGATGCCTTCATGACGAGGTCTTTGTAGTAAAACACATCCATAAAGTTGACATGTGCATCCTTTACAGACTTCTCGCACCCTTCGTGACAGGAGATGGTAGGTATCTACTCACCATCACAGGAGTAGATGCCGTAATGTTTCCCGGAGCTTCTGTCGCCACAAACGTTACAAGGTATGTCCAGAAGGCGGTCCCCAGCTGCAAATAAAACAAACAGTGAAGCTGACCCAACAAAATAACAGAGTTTATGACTACATATGGAGCATTTCTGGGTAGCATTCTTACAATGCAGGAATGTTCGATTAGAAATCACTCCTACGCTAGGAAGGAAAGGGATCTCCAGTGATATCGCTTTTGTTTCTAAAATGAATTCGCAGGAGCTCATGTCTGAATATTGTGCATTTGTAAATGTCTTCTGTCTGTTGTCTTCACCCAAATTCTATTGCATCCATTGATATAAGTGTGTATTGATTTGCGGACTTGTTTATCGCCTAAAAGCGAAGTCATGTATCATACGTTTGACTTAGTTGGCCGTCGTGGAATCGGTGCCAGAAAGCCTCTTACGATTTTATCTTCGGCGCTGAGCCGCGCGATCGGCGAATTGATCTGACTGGCAAAAGTGGCATTGGGAATGGAACCCAAATGGTTTCGAAGCTAAGCTCCACGGCATCAAGCGCGAGCTAAAACACTTACAGTAGCTATTTTTACTCTGCATTGCTGTCACACTGCGAGGTGCAGCCTACTTGTAAACATAACATAATGGGGGTGCAAGGTGCGATACTCTTCGGAAAGACGTACGAGTTTAAGAAGCTGTTCTGTATGAGAGGCTCTGAATTGCGTACGAGGTTTTCGGTGAGACTTCTTTCGGGTACTTTCGGTGCCTCTGTTACCTGTAAGGTATTTCAAAAGGTACTGTCGATTAGCGATTATGTACTGTCGAAAAGGATTGTCGATAGCGGCGGAACACCTTCAATTAAGGGAGGGGGCACTGCCCAATTTTGGTCCCATTCTTTCCATGCATCGTCCATAGGGCTAATGTTAAAATGCCAAAAACAAAGGGGGGCAGGTGCCCCGGTGCCCCCTAGTTCCGCCGCCTATGCTCTTGAACATTTCACTGATAAGGACTTTTGATGATATATTTGAAAACGTTTACATCAAATTTTAGCTTAGCATACTTTTTGAAGGAGGAAAGATCATGATCATTTACAAATACTTATTTTTGATATCAATAATGGTCCTCCAAAAACACTACTTTACTTACACTACGATACTTTACTTACATGCACCACCACCTCTTACGTTTACGCAAGTCGCAACATTTACATATATAAAATGAATCATTGTTATAAGAGAATGCATGAAGCTCAACGGGAACCAGACTTTTTACGATAACTATAAGTATTTGTTCACTTTGTCAGTCTACAGAGTATGCAGTTATGCAAGTGCCTAGTAAAAGGTGTGAGTATTTGAGATATGAACTCGCAGCTTTGGGGCTCATGATCAGATAGAAAGTAGCCTTATCAGTGCGGATTATGAACAAAATAGCTGCTGCTCAAAGTGAATACAACCGTCGTCTTTGCACCTCTGAATGTATTCATTAGGGGTGAGACATGACGATAGAGGGGTGAGACATACCTAACTGTATCCGCGTAAAGCGTTGAGACAGGCCGATATAGGGCGGTGCGACACACCGATATCAGCGTTGAGACATTCCGATATGAGCGGTAATGCATACCGGTATGAGCGGTGAGATATGCCGAATGCCGATAGAGCGCTGAGACTTGCCGATCTGAGCGCTGAGAAGTGCTGATATGAGCGGTGAGACATGCCGATCTGAGCGATGAGACATGCTGATATGAGCGGTGAGGAATGCCGATATCAGCGGTGAGACATGCTGATATGAGAGGTGAGACTTGCAGGCGACAGGAGAAAATATGACCCGTACAAAAAGTGAAAATAACTAACATAACTCTTCAGCTATGATCGAAGTCAGGCGAACCACGACCGATTTAACACACGGGACGTGCGCGATGTAGGTATGACCGGTTTAGTAAGCCAGACGCACATGATATTACGGGAGCACGAGACCGATACATGCGATAAATATGTCCGATTCTAAAAGAGCAGTCCGATGTATCCACATGCAAACTGATGAAAGGGTATGCAAGTAAAACAAGTAGGTACGATATACAGACGGGAACATCAAAAATGTCCAACATAAGGGTTGAGACGTGTCTGATGTTACTGCTAGGGCACAACCGGCGATATAACAGGCGAAACAGTCTCCTTGTCCTATACAGCACGCAAACCGTGATAAATTAAAGAATGAAGATGGAAGATGGAAGCAATTATTCATGACATATAAGTTATAATGCATAACTATAGGCAATGCATAACCGGTGCAAACTGCATGCATTCATGCATTTGCGACATTACCGATGATTGAAAATTATCCGAGAACGCCGAATTCGATGAAAAGTGTAAGGTTTTACTGTCGGTAAGCCACGCAGAATGCGTGGTTCAGTGCCTGACGAGTGTGTTATATGCTGTAGTATAACTCAAACCAAATCAGCCGAGTTATGAAACAAGTTATCGTAATATATAGCGAGGTATCGTTAGACGAAGAATGAGTCGTCGCAGAAGTTTGGTGATCTTAAAATGATCACGCAAAAAGGATGATTTGCAAATGGGCCAGGTGTAGCATTTCCTATTTGCAGTCATTTTTTAGATCTACCTAAAATCACAAACTAGAAGCGATAAATTGAGCTAGAAATGTGTGAGCATCAATCTTATAAGCTCATAAATAAATATGGAACTCTCCCCAGATCAGTCATATAGACTCATACGTTGTGCATACAGGCGTTCATTTGCAAATATTGTGTCTTTCAAGTGCAAGCGAAACGTCTGCACCTAAAAGTTGCAATGCGTAGTTATGGGAAGGTTGATCCGGGAGCGCTGACTACATCTTGTAGAAACAGACGTTTTTATCTTATGTAACACAATATGAGTTGCTTATGTCTAGCTCTACATGCTTGCTACAAAAATTCAAATTCAGTTGTCGGCAGCGGCAGTCACACCGTGTTCAGGTCAGTTCGGTAATGTCACTCACCGATGGCGGTCACGCTGTGTCAGGTCAGTTCGGTACGCTCAGTCACCGGCAAGGCGGCGGCATCTCAGCGGTGTCTTCTGTCCGACTCTGTGTCCATAGGGTTCAGTGTGTGTAAGAAGGAGCCGACCGGTATGGTGAGTATGACGGGTCAGTGTGAGCATGTCGGTATGGGCCGGTATGAGCTGCGAGCTGCGAGCACTCAGTCCGGTGGCGGCGCCCCGGCGCGACGGTACCTTCTTCCGTTCGCCTCTGTGTCTAATAACATAGGTATAGTTGGATCGGTAGGGGTGAATACCTACGAGTACGACAGCCGGTATGTGTATGTATGGACGGATTGGTATGGACTGCGCTCACTCACCGGTGGCGGCGCCCCGGCGGTACCTTCTGTCCGCCTCCGTGTCCATGGCCGCTGCTAGTGTTCAGACGGCCGCCGTCGCGCCGCCACTAGGCCCGGCCGCGTGCCGGTCGGCGCGCTTTATAGGGCGGCCATTTTGTCAGTGGCCGCCGCCGCCGGCCCGGTGGGAATGGGGCAGGTGTGAAATCCCGCCGGCCGGCCGACCAGTGGCGGAGGGCCTGCGCGCGCCGCCGCCGCCGCCGCCGCCGGCGCCGCGCCGTCTCGACAGCGCCGTCACCACACCGCTCTGAACAAGTCAGCGACAGGGGAGGGGAGGGGAGGGGAGGGGAGATGTGACACGTAACGCGTGAGACATGCAGGATAGCGCCCAATGGTCTTCATGACACACAAGGCAGCACAGGCCATCCTCTTCAAGGGGAGATGATGAAAGGCATTAGGATGGCAAGAAGCACGTCCTGCTTCTTTCCTAAAGACGACAGAAGTGTATGCTTCCGAGACGCCAAAATGTGAGCGCATATCAATTTTTAATTTTTTATCTATTTATTTGTATTTTATCGATGGGCAACAGGATCACAAAACTCCCAATTACAGCCCAAGTCAAACGTGATAAAAAGCAATACATTCACTTGTACATTGACATCAGATAGATAAAACGAAAATGTGACGAAACCTTCCAAACATGACCTGGAACTAATGTTTCAAGTACCAAGGTAGCACAAATGCCACGGGCAATTCTTCAAGCATGTATTTCTAATATCTTTTTTAATGAGCAATGAGCAGATGCTGACTGCCGACATGTGTGTATAGCTCTCATGGACGTCGGGCGATTTCAAATAAATGCAAATTACATAACTTTTGGGTATTTGATGCCGATTAAGATGCCACCACGATAACAGACATAAATATATGGATAAGGAATCTTCTTTTAACACACACACAGAACTGGTTTTCTATCTATTTCTCTTAACCCGCGCCCCGTTGGGCTCTGCCGAGCAACGCGCCCGGTTGGGGGGGAGGCCATTTTGGCCCCCCCTAAGATCTCGAGAACCACGCAACATAGTGTAGTTTATAGTTATGTGTAGCTCTGTGTGACCGGCTGAGACGCTGCGTGGCCCAGACGCGCCTGGGGGACGCCGTCTAGCCGACACTGACAAATGTGTCCAAGGGGGGTGTCCTGTTACATGTGTGGCGACGGGGGCGCCGAGTCGCGGTGGTAGGGCGCCGGGTCGTGCGAGAGGGTTGGCAGTGTGGTTGGAACGGTCGCAGGAGAAGCACCCAATACACTCGACTACAAGCTATTTCGGCACCATGCCTAAAGTGAAGGCATCTGCGAGTGCTAGTGCTGGTGTGACACCGACGGCAGCGGAGTCCGGCGGAAGGGCCACTTTCGACCCTCGGCTAATACCCGAGTTCAGTGGCGAAGGGACCGGTGCGGACATAGTGGAATGGTTCACCCGTGCCGAGGTGTTGAGCAAGCACCATGGGGTGAATCTGGCGCTCGTGCTGCCAGCACGACTGACTGGCGGTGCCTTCGCGGTCTGGCTGCAGATGTCAGAGGAGAGCCGCCGCTCCGTGGACAGCGTCAGGGACGCGCTGTACGACGCCTTCGCCATGGACCCGCTGGCGGCCTACGACGCGTATGCCAGCCGCCGTCTCCAGCCGGGCGAGTCGGCCGACGTTTATCTGGCGGACCTGCGCCGTTTGGCCACGCTGCACGGTGGAGTATCGGAAAAGGCCCTCGCTTGTGCCTTCATCGCTGGACTGCCGGACACCGTCCGCAGCGCGATTCGGGCCGGCACTCGAGCAGAGGCGCTGGACCTGGCCAGCATTCTGACGAGGGCGCGGGCAGTGCTCAGCGACGAGCGCACCTCCACGGTGGCGGCGGCGACCCGTGAGCGGGCCGACGGAACGAGCCGCCGTA